GTGTCTCGTTTCTGACCACATGATCAAAGAACACTGCTTGTCTAGTTTTTTTTTTTAAATGTAGTGCAAAATACGCTCTCACGCGAGATACCTAGCTTCGGATCTTCGGTGAGGTGTTGGAATTTTTTTCTGTCGGGGTCTAAAATGCATTTATAACTGAATATCTTGGTTTCTTTTGATACTGGTAAAAGATAAACTGTCATTGCACACGGATATTTCTGTGAATGCTCCAGGCCCCCTCCCCCACCCCCTCTAAGTGAGCTGCCTGTAACTAAAAGGGGGAGAGAAAAGGGGCGTGGAGGAGAGAAGAAGAAAATGTTTAGGAGAAATAAGTAGTTCCCCGCTGCTAAACTGCAAAAACACATACGTCCTTTGATTTGATTTGATTTGATTCAAGAACCGACATCACAGCACTCGAGGCATTCCCATAAGCGCTCCGTCCCCATCTTCAGCGGCCATCGAAGAGTTCCGATACTAATGGTGCCAGTAGCATTCTGATTAAACGTCTGTCTTGCCTTTCCTCTTAGCCTCGAGCATCTGCCAGAACCTCTCGTCACTCCCCGCTGCATCAATCCCACCAGACTGTGGTGATCCATCTGCTCCTCCGAACTGTACACGCTCTCCCACAAGGCACTAACCACGTCTGCCTTATCATGCGTCAGTATTCCACCAAGTTGTGCAGAGCCAGACAGTCTGTCCGCCTGTTCATTTCCTTTAAAAACAGTTTACAACCCAGTCGACAGAAGCGGCGTAGTCAGACTAAACATCACAACAGCAATACAGTGACTTCTAGACCAGAGGTTCTCAACCTACAAGTCGTGATCCTCTTTTTGAGTCGAACGACTCTTTCACATGGGTCACCTAAAACCATCGGACAACACATATTCATTGTAGTTATGAAGGAAAATAATTGTGTGGGAGGTCGCCACAACATGAGGTAACTATTAAAGGGTCGCGACATTAGGTAGGTTGAGAGCCACTGGTCTAGACAGAAGCTTGTAAAAATACAAGTACTGATCTGAACTGAGTAGCTTAAATAAAAGGACCATACTTGACAAATGTGTTTTTGTTTTGTTTACTAATATAGTTCTGACTACAAATAATGTTACCTACAGGTAGAATATTTATGAATGTTAGGTAGCTTTGCGAGGAAACAAAAATCGTCAACTTTAACCAGCATCCCAAGAGGTGGGGGAGGGGGAGGGTCCTTTGGGTTATAATTAGGACTATGTTATATGCGCCATATAAAACTGTAGAACAGTTATGAATGGTAGGTAGCTTTGCGAAAAAAATAAAAACAGTCGTGAAGTTTAACCAGCAACCCAGAAGGGGGAACTTTAGGTTATAATTAGGATTATATTATGTGCGCCATATAAAATGGCTTAAAATTGCTGTAGGTAGCTCTGAAAAGAACCCTTGCAGTGTTGATGAGATCACAGAGACAGGCCCAAATATTGTCCTTACCGGTGACAAAGTCGTCTACCGGCGATCCAGTGGGTGACCTGGTAGCCGATGAACAGTCATAGATAGGCGACTACGAGTATTTATACTACACGCCATATGCCAGCACCTAGATAAAACATGTAATATCTGGAACGACTTCAACTCATGCTTATCGAGCAATTAAATCGACCGTGTTAAATCGCCTCAAAAAGCGTTCTCTAAAAACGCCCCTCTCCCCCTCCTCCAACGCCGCACCCCATATTCGAGCCCTTAACTTACAGGAAATATATCAAATGATTGAGCCATGTAACATCAGACAGGGCATCACAGGCAGCAATGATACAAAGATACAGTCATAACAGAGGGAGAGTTTGACCAAGTTGGACCGCAGAAATATCAGACTGAAAAGTACTATACACGAAGCGAATAGAAGGGCCAGTTCCAAAGATCTCCTCCCCCTTAACGCTTTTAGGTATTCTAGCTGTAGAGGAAAGAAGAACACGTAAGGAGGGTTTCATAAGCACCTCAGCCTTCGCCTCGACAGGCCAAACTGACCTGTTATCTCTGCAGCCAGAAATGTCATGTTTTCATGTTTTGTTACGTTCCAGAATCTTCTCGCTTCTTTGTGTGGGACTCTTATTGCTTCCCAAGGCCGTGGTGATTTCTTACCCCACCTACGCACCCAGTCGGCACTTAGTGAGTGATGTGATCAACATAACCCTGGCCGCCTTTACTTCCAACACCTGGTACCTATTTAAACCTGAGTTGACTGGAAGCTAAGCTCGTTTCTGAAATATGTCCGCCTCTGTCAGTACTGAACCCACCACATTTTGATCCGCAGGCGAGAGTCTAACCGGAATACAATGTCAGCTCCCACGTGACACTGGCTATGATTAATTTGTTCATATGGCAGAACTAGACGTACTTATTTCATTTTTTTTTTCTGCATTTGTTTTTCTCATTTTAAAGTTCATTTCAGGATCCTAGCCGATGCAACAGAGTTCGTTAACTGCTCTAAGATTTTTCAGACTCAGTCTCGAGTTAGAAGAAGAACGGAGCACATGATATTGAACCGTTAAATACACATAAACATAATGTTTAGAGTTGGCAGGATTATCACAGTTACTACACCAGCTGTCTTACTTCCATCGCTGCAGTGGATTCCAGTGCAATGACATTTAACTTATATTGTTGCCAGATTTCTTTAATCAGTATGCAATCCAACCTGGCCTACTTTTTCTGGATTAATTGTCTCAAAGTACCATTTTAGTTAACTGTTTCATAACAGTTATTGCCGTATGTTCTGGACAGGCACAAGTTTATTCATGTTTGTAGTTTGATTATTAAACTGTCGTACGTGTCTTTATGTCTGCTCAATTCTGGGTGGAAGCTTAAAGGAACATATGGCTTCCTTCATAATAATAACAATACTAATAATAATAATACTACTAATAATAATAATAATAATAATATTAATAATAATAATAATAATTATAATAATGATAATATAATGATTACAATAACAATAATGATAATAATAATAAGTAAAGAAAAGGACCGTTTTCCACTCCTTTAGGCATATTTGACATATGGGGCTAGACCTATATTTTATAGACTAATTTGAACTTGGTGGGTGATGTGGTCAGCATTACGCCGGCCGTCTTTACTTCCCAGGACTGCACCTCGTACCCACTCAAGATTTAGGTCGACCTGAGAGCCAAAGTCATTTTTGAAAAAAAATGTCCGGCCTTGCAATCCGCAGGCGGGTGTCTTGCCGCCACACAACGGAGAATCACAATAATAATAATAATAATAATAATAATAATAATAATAATAATAATAATAATAATAATAATAATAATCTTTTGGCGTGTCACTGATACCAGGTTTTAGTCCAGTGTCGTGGTTTTTCTGTATTGTCTCTCGATTCTCAACTGGCTTGGGTGATGGATTTGTTTATCCTTTCGCAGTTTTCAACTAAACCATCTTTCATCTCTTTCTTGGTCTCCCCCTCACCCTCCTCCCAGATGTTCTGCAGTAAAAAAAAAAAAATATCGCATGTAGTTTGACCTAGCTGCATTTTCACCAGTTGGCCAACCATTTAATACTTCGAATGTAGCTTTGTATTTTATCATATAATATATGATTGGGTGGGTTGGGAGGCACTTAAGTCGAAAAGCTCAGGTGGCTGTGTCATACCTTGAGAATGGAGAATGGCAGAGTACCTAAGGTTATCCTCTATGGTGAATTAAAGACAGGTTGAATATATCGAGGCCGACCTCTACTACAATATAAAGACGCGTGCAAGCGTGATATGAATGATACAGGTATTGAGGTTGACTCGTTGGAACAAAATGCCATGTATCGTGTTGTGTAGAGGGGCATATCCGAAAGGGAATGAGAATGAAGAAACAAACAACTGCAGAAAGGATGAGAGCTGAGCATCTGAGAAGAAACAGACTAAACACAAATGTTGACAGCAATGGTTCTGAAATCCCATGCTATAATTTCGAAGACTTTTCCTTACGTGGGCGGGTCTTGCTAGTCACACTCGCCATCGCCATGGGCTGTGAGTCCCATGCCTGCTCATAGTGCAGTAAAACACTATCATCTGGAAAGACGGAAAGGCGCCAATCTAAATCTGGGTGGCGTCAGAAAGCACCTAAGCATCCTCACAAATTGTTGACAAGCGGGAAGATCGTCTTTATTAGACCAGGTTTTTATCGCAGACTTCTTCGTTTAGTCTCTTTTTGTAGTGCAGCTAGTCGACCACAAGAGCTTTGCACAAAGCATGAACTCCGAAGCAAATGAAACAACCCAAAGGTTTCTGAAGAACTCCTATCTATCTATCTATCTAATCTATCTATCTATCTATCTATCTATCTATCTATCTATCTATCTATCTATCTATCTATCTATCTATCTATCTATCTATCTATCTATCTATCTATCTATCTATCTATCTATCTATCTATCTATCTATCTATCTATCTATCTATCTATCTATCTATCTATCTATCTATCTATCTATCTATCTATCTATCTATCTGTCTGTCTGTCTGTCTGTCTGTCTGTCTGTCTGTCTGTCTGTCTGTCTGTCTGTCTGTCTGTCTGTCTGTCTGTCTGTCTGTCTGTCTGTCTGTCTGTCTGTCTGTCTGTCTGTCTGTCTGTCTGTCTGTCTGTCTGTCTGTCTGTCTGTCTGTCTGTCTGTCTGTCTGTCTGTCTGTCTGTCTGTCTGTCTGTCTGTCTGTCTGTCTGTCTGTCTGTCTGTCTGTCTGTCTGTCTGTCTGTCTGTCTGTCTGTCTGTCTGTCTGTCTGTCTGTCTGTCTGTCTGTCTGTCTGTCTGTCTGTCTGTCTGTCTGTCTGTCTGTCTGTCTGTCTGTCTGTCTGTCTGTCTGTCTGTCTGTCTGTCTGTCTGTTTAATACGTTACACTGTGCCGAATAGGGAAAATATCTCTAGTAGATCTTAGTCGTTAGTCTATGAATACCCATCAATACAAACATGTTCTGTAAGGGACATTCCCGAATGTAAGTAACAGAATTAATTCCCTCTGCAGGTGGTGCTGCCAACATTTGTCCTGGAGAAACGGTCACTGCTGGAATTATTTACTGATTGTATGGCACATCCAGATATGTTCATCAAGTGAGTGTATACAGAAGCTTGCCTTTAGGCTCGCGTTTCTGGATCTCTTGTTCCCAACGTTGAGACACTCCCCACGGGGGTGGGCGAGGGGGGGGGGGGGGGGGCACAGTTCTGACGACATCGCCAATTGATCTATAAAAACGTGAGACTTGTACCATGGGCGCTGTGGGCCACTGGCGTAGAAAGCAACTTTTGCTACAAGTTTAGTTCCATGAGAAGTCATTGTGTTAAAATATTCTCATTAGTTACATCTTTTATCTGTTTCTTTCAACACTGATGTTTAAAAGGGATGCTAAATATAACACAAAATTAGACAAGAAAGGTCAACAGAGAGAATGGAAAATGGTTGTGTTTGCATGCACCTTTTCCATTACAACCGTAGAGCTTTCTAGTCAAATTGTGTGTTATTTTTTAGCATTTCTTGCAATCAGTTAGTTAGTTAGTTAGTTAGTTAGTTAGTTAGTTAGTTAGTTAGTTCGGTTATCCTCATTGCACTCCGGACATGTCCATAGGTGCTCAGATCCTCCCCTCAGTATGAACCCCAACGTCCGATGGTGTAAACAGCCACAATGGCGGTTCGCTTTTTCGATCGTTGAGGCGAATGGCGCAAATTAGCTATTTTCGCTCACGTATAATGTGAAAGTTTCATCGCAATGGGGTCTGAACCGTGCAATGGAGTACATGCACGTGAGTTTAGACTTCCCTCAGGGTGTATTCGACGTCCGATGGCGACTATTTACCAATTTTCTTGCAATCAGCTCGATTGCAGCCACCCCCTTTTTCATTTTGTTTATTTTCCTGGTCAATTTTACGTTCGGTGCCGTTGGTCGGTGTCTGTGGTTTAGGTGCTGCGAACGCGCTGCATAATGTCGGAGTGCGCGTTCAGTCCTAGCTGCAGGCGATTTGGCAGCAGTGCATCCGTCGTTGATTTCCACTGTGGTACTGAGAGCTGATCGTTTTAGGAGCAGTGGCGAACTTCTGAATGTAAAATTTGCCTAGAAAATCACCAACAGGAACAATAACAAATTCCGGCTTGGTTCTGCAACAGCCTGTAAAGTTATGCAGTGAACTTTTGTTTGCCATTGTTCACTTATAGGTCGGCTCTCGATAACACTGTCGAAAGCAGAGCAACAGCTGCAAGGATCGAACCCATCACCTCGACATAACTAAGCGCGTTTACAACACCTGAGCTACAGATGAAACACTGATAAATTTAACAGTACTTCTTAAAGTCCACGAGGTGTGTCGTTGGTAGTCATGTCTTATCCACAACCTTCTGTCTCGTGTACTTTCAATCAACTCTGACCTGATGATCCTCCATGTCGTGACGTCAAACTGCCCATCATCTTCTCTTTTGGGCTTCCTCTGCTTCTTTACCCCTCCAACTTTCCAACTCTCACGATGTACTCGTTTTCTCTTTCTCGTCACATGATGAAAAAATGTAGATTATTTCTTTCTGATGCAGGCAATCAGTTCTTTTCGTCAGTTATTTTTTTTTTTTTTTTTCCAATTAGTTTTTTTTTTCCCCCCAAGACACGTTGTTATCCTTATCATTTGTCCATAAAACCATTGTCTACAGCCTCCAAATAATTTTTCCTAGTTAAGCAGTTGTCCATAATTCATTTCCATATATCAGGATATATATATATATATATATATATATATATTATATATATATATATATATATATATATATATATATATATATATATATATATATATACATATATATATATTAAGAATTCTCTATTTTTTCTCAATTTACACACAGATTTCACATAAATTTTATCATTTTGTAAAATGCTGCTTTTGCTTGAGCTGTTTTACAATTAACTTCTTTCATACATCTTCCATCTGATGTTATCAGGGAGCTCAACTACTTAAGCGTTGTAACTTGCCTGAGAATCGTTTCATTTACTTTGTTTAATTTTTAACATTCAATATACTGAAACTAGTCTCATCTGTAACGATCTGAAAACCAAACGATACAGGCACACAAACAGTATCGTTTTCTGTAAACTGAATTAAGCGTCATGTAACGTGTCTTTTGCAGAACGTCGCTCTCGTCTTGGTGTGTCTGAAAGAAACTCGCTCTCTCTCCGGCTCTCCCAACTCGTGCACTTTCCCGCCCAAGATGCCATTTATATCCTCTGCCCATGTGTGGTCTAGTCGACCCCCGTCTAACTTTCCTGGTTTCATGACTTCTGCTCATTTTGGTCCCAGTCCGCCGTGACGCTTCATGTTGCCTAGTTATTTCGGTTTCGGAGACAATATGCTCCCAAGACATAAACCCCAGTCATCCCCTTGTGGGATGCCATTTTTCGTTTTTTAAAGCCCCGCCCTGGCTTTTGCTGGGGGCCCTGAATACAGCTGGGCCACAGTTGTATCCATAACGACTCTCCACTGTACCTCTCCACGGGTGATCCTCATCCGCATAGTGGCACTTTCTGTCACCGGGTGTTTATCGCTTGTGTGATGTCCTGGTGGGTTACAAGCAAGCATCGAAATGCTCCCTTGATGTCCCAATTTTTCACCTTAGTATTTCATCCCTTCTTTGTCCTTGGTATTCTGAGAAGATTTGTATAGCAAAGCCAGCTCAAAGGCACAGATTTTCTCCCCTAAGGACTACAGTGAATTAAAAAAAAAAAAAGTAAAGATCCCTTTACACGCCCTTAGGCGCATCGGGCATATGGGAAGAGCACCCATATTTTTACAGACCAATCAGCACTCGGTGGGTAATGTGGTCAGCATTACGCCGGCCGTCTTTACTTTCACAGGACAGCCCATCCTGGTACCCATTTGAGGCTGGGTCGACCTGCGACGTCCCATACCACGATAAAAATACGTTGGCCATATTAAACACCAAAATGGGTTTGGTAAAAACAGAAATCAAAAGTGTGGTTCATCGAAGTAGGGGCAGGCGTGGACCAACAAGACGATGGACACAGGATATCAAGGACAACCTTAGCATGAAAGTTTCAGGTATGGGGAAATGGCAAGGGATCCAGTGGTTTTCCGGCATTCTTCTTTGTCTTCTTCTTCGTTTTCGTCTTTTTCTTCCTTCTTCTTCCGTTCACCGGCTGTAAATTCCAGAGGATGTTGTGGTTTTTCATTTCTCCTGAACTCTTAAGTCTTTTTCTAGAACTCGAGTTGTGCATGCGCATCCGTTTTAGAGATATGACTCATTTGTATGTAGACTGTTGTTCTCTTGCGTTACGTCGTGTTTCAGGTGCGGTTTCACTCCGGCTTCGGTTGGGGGGAGGGGGTCTCTCCCTTTTGTTACCCGAAAATGGGGCCCCGGAACCCACACGGGGACTGATGATGCTGATGACTATGATACCTAATACTACTATATTGCGGAGGAACTTGAACAAGGAGCAGTCAGTTAGAAAGTCATATTATAAAGCCCTGTAGAAATAAGCAGTGAAACAAACGAGCAGTGTTAACCCATCAGTCATTTACTCCTAGAGATGGAAGGACATTAGCTAACTCTTTCAGAACCAGAGAACTCACACTGCATTCATTGGGTTATGTTTATGTTCTTTGCATCCCATTAATCTGTTATGTTTACCCACTGTAACTCAGATTTTACCATAACTTTTTTTTTTTTGTCCCAGAGCTGCACTTGTCAATAAGATTAAGATTAAAACAATGGTTGCTGTAAGTTTACAAAACCCTTGGGATAGACAGGGTTTTATTAAGAACCATGTGTGACTGAAAGAGTCAAATCCAGCTAAAAATCATCCAAATACTATAATAATTATTGTTAGTTAAGTCTCTGTAGTCCTGTGGCATTCAGTCCACATAAGATCTTACGAATAAGTTTTCTTTTTTTTTTTAAATTAAGAAATATATTTTTGTTTAAAGTAAAAACCATTTCCCCCATAGAATCACCAGCCTTAGAGACCCGGAAGCACGATTTCTAGCAGTGATGGAATGGTATCTCTTATCGTTTCACAGTGGAAGGTTGGTAAGTACAGGGGAACTTCGATTAACCGCCACTTGTTTAACCGTCAGTTCCTGTTATCCTCATCGTCTACAGAAAAAAAAGTATCAATAAGTAATTGTCCTCTGATTACGTATGGAAGTCACGGCACTGTATGATGCAACTGTGTTTATCAAAGTGCATCCATCTAAGTACCAACCACGCCCGACGTTGCTTGGCGTCGGTGATCGGACGAGAACCGGTATTTTCAGCGTGAAATGGCCGTTGACCTAACGTTCGTCAACTGGTTAGAAATGCAAGAGAAGGCAGATGCAACACAAATCCTGCTGCTGCAAACGGTACATAGCCGCGTAGCACGCATCGAGCCTCGACACAGGAGTTGAGAGATTATTTTGGGTAGCCGCAAGAGGTCTCATCTCTATTTACATGTAAAGCAGCGGGGCTTGCGAGGAAACGAAGGCAAACGGTCACTAAAGCAAATGGGCGAAACTGTCGAAAGGGCTTCGAGTTGGCTCTGGACACAACGGAACGTCGTGGGGGATGGGCCTCAGTAGGCTGGTTCGTGTATCTAGTGGAAAAGAAAGTCTCACCCCTTAAGTCCTTCGTGTCTGAATTGTCTGCCGGATTACCTCTGCCAAAAAAGTCTAACATGTGTCCCATAAACCAACCGTAAGCTTGCCACTTGGTCGTCAAGGTATGCTGACTGATCTAATAGGCTACCGCAGCGACTATGTAAATAAACTTCAAATCTCACAGTACCTGTTGCATAGTCACCATTTTCGTCTTGTCCCTTTTCGAAAACATCCGGTAACACGTGCAGCAGGAGCAGATCAAGCCCGAGAGCTTCATGAACACGTGTGGGCCCACCCTCTGAAATTATCTAGGAGCTCGTGGGCCGAAAAAATTGTGGACGAGGGATCACTTCTACTGATGACTGGTAGACTCCTGCTGTACATGCTCCCATGTGGAACTTCTTCTTATCTTACAGTAACGTATGTTTATAGTATTACTATGTAGGTTTATGATCACATTGGGCCGGGGTGCAGAGAGTGGCCAACGGGTGCTACGGAGGTGGAAGTCCAACAGTTGATTCACGTCAATTCACGCCCAGGTGATCTGATTATCTATACAGAGAGGAAAGAGAAGTTCCTGGGGGTTTGTAGCGAAAGCCTATGGGGTATCTTTAGTGCAAGACAGCTTAGCATATAACACCACAACATCTAGCATGAGAATGGAGGTGGAGGCGGTAACTGCAGCTCAGGTGGCTAGAGAACAAAATGCATACACATGTCGTAATTGTAACAGACTCTGAAAGTATGCTGAGAAAGGTGAAGACAGGGATACTTCGAGTAGAGTGGCAAGCTTCATTAGGAAGGGCACGGGTAGTGAGCATACTTTGGATCTTTTCTCCAGGCCATGCCGGCGTGGTGGGGAAGGAACAGGCAGACAGATTGGCTGGATCTGCACACCTGGGTGGTGAATTGATACATGACAAGGCAGATGTGGCCAAGGCCCTTTGGGAACAAGCAACTGAATCAGTTAAGAAACAAGATTATTATAGCCTGGAAAGAATGAGGCACCTGGGTGTAACTAGAGGGTCTGGCCGGCTCACTACACTCAGAGGAAAGGCATGACGGACATAATACCAGATTGTTACCGGTATCATCAGTATTAGAACTCTGCCCTGGCTGCTGAAGATGAGGACGGAGTACGCATGGGAATGCCCCAAGTGCTGTGATGTCAATTCTTGACTCAACACAACTCAACTAGTATTACAATACATTTATATACATTACTACTCGTATATTAAAGTTTATATAGATCTTTGTGCAAAATTAAATACAATTTGCATGTATTATTTACTTTGAAAAGACTTTATTTGCATTGTCATTCCAAGCCCGCAGTGAAACCATGTTACTGTACATATGTATTAAGATACTTCTGTGACTGACTGACCCTCCACCCCACCAGGACATCACACAAGCGATAAACACCCGATGACACAAAGTGTCACCATGTAGATGAGGATCGCCGTGCAGAGGTCCCAGAAACCGCGTTCAGACAATCGGCCATATTTATGACCTGCCTTTATTGTGGCCCCTGGCAAAAGCCGGGGGGGGGGGGGGGGGGGCGTTCAAATAACAAAAAATTTCGTCCTAAAAAGGACGAAACTCGATAATAAATACTTCTGTTACCCGTCGATACGATTATCGTCACAGCTCTGGACTGGGTGGTGGCTACTAATAAAGTTTTACTGTTCTACACAAAATAAGTTTTAAAATGTAAACACCGTTACTTTCAATGCTGACAGTACATTTTTTAAAAAAAGAATATTCTTTCCGTAATTTTTTGTTTGTTGGGGGGGGGGGGGGGGGGGGGGGGAGATATAAAGAGCTAGATACAGTTGACTGGTTCGCATAATTAAGAGCCGCCAATCAAAGCCCTGGATAAGCAAGGTGTCAACAGCAATGAGCAGATTAACATTAGGAGTTTGAGAAAACAAAGAGCTCATTGTTTTCGGCTCATATCTGTATTGTGATGAAACCTTGTCGACTTTTTCGTTACCAGGAGAAACGGCTACATAGATTTCACATGTGATGCCTGGGAAAGGTACCACCTGGCTTTGTATGTAGTGTGTAGGAATAAAGAGATGGAGGACACTTACGGCAGCAGAAACAGGATAATAAAGCAAACTGGCATGTATTTATTAACATTTATAGAAGGAAGTAAGAAGATAGGAGGGCAGTCTAGACCGTACACAAATCAAAAGCTATAACTGTCATGGCGGGAATCCAACCATTTACATCTAAAACAGCGACAGTGCCTCACTGCGGGAACTTTTTCCATTCATTCATTCATTCATCCATTCATTCATTCATTCATTCATTCATTCATTCATTCATTCATTCATTCATTCATTCTTTACCATTTTGTGCAGTTCCATTATATCCTGTGCAATCACTTCAATACCATAGATGGAATCTATTTCAGCACCTTTGGCCTCTCTCTTCAACGTTCGCCTTAATGTTTTGCTTGGACGTTCTTGGTTTCCGAATCCCTCTGTCTACCATTTCAGTGCTACGGTACCTGTTTGTTGATTCTGTGCTTTTCTTGTCTCAGAATGTTTCCACTATACCGCCATCTTAGTTAGTTGCGTATCCTTTACAGGACGTTGCAGAACCAACCCTAACAGCCCCTTGGCTGTTGTGTGGTTTCTCTAGGCAATTTACGACCAGCAGTTTGCCATTTCCCCTGGACTGTCGGCTTTCTTGATACCACCGTCGAAACCAACGCAAGGCGCATTGCCCGCAGCTGGGATCGAACCTGGCATCCCAGCATTCCGAAGCGAAGCGTTCGCATCGACTTAGCCACAGAGCCGACATACCGCCATCTACTCTGTCTCAAAACTGTTGGCTCCAGTGTTTGCCCATACATTTTCCAGCTGTAATAATAATTCGTTGCCCTGCTGTTACATGAACTTGTTGTATCCCATGTTAGTACTATGTGAACAATCGCATTAAGTACATAAGTAAAGGTTCATTCTCGCCAGTGGTGTATTGGATGTAATTCTACACTTGAACTTTATTTTTTTTAATTCACCCCAAATAAAGGAAATCCCGGAGATTACACGAAAGTCAAATGTACTAGGGTTTTTATGGGTTTGGGTTAAGGGTTAGTGTCACAGTAAGGGTTAGAGTTAGGATTAGAGTTAGGGTAAGTAGCATGGTTAGTCGGTGTTCTTGAGGCTGTTCAGGCTGACAAAGATCCATTCCCTAATTCTAACTCCCACCCAAAACACCCCTGAAATATAGAACTTTCTCGAAAACCCCGGGATTTCCTTTGGAGTGAAAAAAAAAAAAATCCTCATATTTTTATAGACCAACCTATACTCGATGGGTGATGTGGTCAATATCTTGCCGGCGACCTTTACATCCTGGATTTTCTAGTACCCGTTGTAGACTGATAGGAGCCAAAGTATTTTTTCTCTTACCCAAATTCGCTCGGTGCGGATTGGAATCCAAGACCTTCAGGTGCGCGTCGAGCCACTACGCCACAAAAGCCGAGCCATTGATACAGCCGTTGATAAAAACTGTGAAGTTGCAAAGTCACCAATTCGTCTTGTCCCTGTCTGATAACATCCGGTAATACGTGCAGCAGGAGAAACCAACCCTGAGCCCCATGAACCTTCAGGTGGGCCCACTCTCTGAAAATGTCTAGGAGCTCGTGGGCCGAAACATTTGTCGACGAGAGGTTACTTCTACTGATGATTGGTAGACCCCTGCTGTACATGCTCCCCCTGTGGAGTTTCTTCTTATTCTTATTTTGATCGATATGTTGGGCTGTGTTTGTGCTTTGTGCGTGTTTTTTTTCTTACATTCCTACCATTGAGCTTTGTAGTCACATTTGATGTTGTACTGAGCATTTTTTGGCATAAACTTATGATTACAGTCATCCACCCCCCCCCCCCCCCTTCCCCCCCCCCCCATTTACGTCATAATTTAAGACACATAACGTTATTATTTTAGACAGTAAATATACAAGGCAGAAAAGCGAGAAGAACAGCATGCTAGGACTGATGAAAAGATATAAAAATAAACGAAATGTAGAACTATTCAGCTACACATTATCTTAAACACACGCGATAAGGGAACGTTTCGGCTAGACAACCTTCATCAGCACATTCACATGTATATATACAATACCCCAAACACGAACAGGAATGCAGAAAATCAGTGTGATCAAAAATTGTTATTACCACAAAATACAGTACAGACGAGTTAGCCAGGTACAGACATAAACAGTATTTGCAGTTCTGAGAGGAGGGACACATGAAAGAGATGAAATTATTGAACTGCAGTGAAGCTATAAAAATATGACTGAGGAAGTTAAAATTATTAGCAGAGGGCTAACTGGTCGATAATGCTGGTCGTCTGATTAGGGCACATCTGCCAAGAAGCCTTACAATCCCATCATCGGAGAGACCTTTCATTGCTCGTGGCATGTGCCTGGATCTTATGATCATGCCAAAGACATACTGCTGACGTACACGGCAGAGCAGGTGTCACACCACCCTCCAGGTGAGCGCAGCCAGGTTTTTTTTTTAAATATGAGTGTCTGTGAGAGAGAGAGAGAGTGTGTGTGTGAAAGTGTGTGTGTGTGTGTGAGAGTGTGTGTGTGCGGAGGGGTGGGTGTGAGATAGTTTTTGTGTGGGGTGGGAGGTGTGAGATTATATGCGGGTATGTGAGAATGTTTGTGTGTGTGAGTATGTGTGAGAGTGTGTGAGTGTGTGTGTCTATGGGTGTGAGAGTGTGTGTATGGGTGTGTGAGAGTGTGTAAGGGCGTGTGGGAGTTTGTGTTTAGGTGTGTGAGATTGAATGTTGGGCCGTGTCAGAGTGTGTGTATGAAGTGTGTGAGAGAGTGTGTGGGGTGTGTGTGAGAGATTGCATATGGGGTGTATGTATGGGTGTGTGAGAGTGAGTATGGGAGTGTGCGAGAGTGTGTGTATGGAGTGTGTGAGAATGTAAGAGTGTGTGCGATTGAGTGTGGGTGTGTGTAAAACTGTGTGTATCGGTGTGCGAGAGAGTGTGTAGGGGTCTGTGCGAGTGAATGTATTGGTGTGTACAAGTGTTTCTTTGGGTGTATGAGAGTGAGTGTGAGTTTGTATGAGAGTGTGTGTATGTTGAAGTGTTGAAGTATGTGTGAGGGGTGTATGAAGTGTGTGAGAGTGTGTATTTAGTTGTATGAGAGTGAGTGTAGTGGTGTGTGAGAGTGCGTGTGTACTGAGGTATGAGAGTGTTTGTGTGTGTGTGTGTGTGGGGGGGGGGTGAATATGGAGTGTGAGAGTGAGTGTATGGGTGTATGAAAGTAAGTGGGGGAGGAGGTGGATGCCCATAGACTCAGGAACCCCGAGAAATAAGCCCTCTTGAGTTCCCACACCGACGTTTTATTTTGCGCTGAAAGTACCACTTCTCTAAGAATTTGGTCATGATGCTAAATCACCACCACTTACCATGCGTACAAGTTCTCGCTTAAAGTATTTGTGAATGCATTTCGAACTTTTTTGTTTGTTTTTGGGATACCTTTTCATAATATTGTATTTATTCACCATTCAACACATGAGTGCTAATAGACTGAAATAGCTGGGGCATGATGAGAGAATGTCATTGGTCAGAATGAGAGGTCAGAACTGTGTGCCCAAGTGACCTGAACGGTCGTAGACCACGAGGTAGACCAAGAAAAACATAGAAAAAGATAATGTCCACACAGACCATTAAATACTTGGGGTCACCAGCTGAAAAGAGAAGGCCAACCAGGTTGACGAATAGAGGCGGGGGATATCTGCAGCAAAGAACCTCAAGGGCTCAAATGCTGAATAAGAAGATTTTTATCAAGATGTATTAGACACTTAAGATCCCCCCCCACCCCCCCGCCTTTTTTGTCAAGAAACTATGTATGTCGAAGGGGGTGAGGGATCCTCAACAACAATAACCCCCCCCCCCCCACCCCCAAACCCCAACCCCTATTGTTTTGCGGATGGCATTCGTCGCTTACCTAACCAATAGGCTGCTTTCCTGAATGTCTACAACGACTTTTTCTGACCAACCCACGGTGTATAATTCTTTCATTCACTCGTTCATTCATTCATTCATTCATTCACTTTGCATTCATTCATCCAATCCTACATTGTTTTATTTTCAGTTACAGCATTCTATGTTGAATGTCCCGAGAAAAGAATAAAAATGAATTCCTCCATCTACACAAAATCTAAATTCCTGGGCATGTCTATGGGAGTCTCGATGATTGGGAAAGGTATGTTATGTTATGTTATCTTATGTTTTGCTATGTTATGTTATGGTATGTTATATTGTGTGACTACATTCCACACCACTGCACACAGGGTAGTCCCGCGCGTGCGTAGTTTATTCTAGGCAGCAACCACTCCAAGGTACCTCATCTGTTCCCATGAGAAGCTGGGTTTGTAGTTATCCACTAACCTTTGTCTGTACAGTGTTGATATCTGCTTTGTCCAAGCATGAGGGAATGTAAGACACGCATATCTTAACTACAAATAATTGTTTTACTGGTGTCTGCCCAGAACAGAGGGAATTAAACTGTATGATAGAATCACTAATGTAGAGCTTTCAGAGAGAACTAAGCAAGTTCCAGTGGACCAAGAGGTGAAGAAAAGAGGCTGGCTCTGAATGGGACACACTTTGAGAAAACCTGAGACCCATACCACCAGAAGGTTTTTTCACTGGAAGCCACACGGATATAGGAATAAAGAAAGACACACACACACACACACACACACACACACACACACACATACACACACACACAAACATGGAGAATGGAGCTAGAGAGTGAAGTTAAAAAAGATGGAGAGGACATGGGGAGAGCTGCATGCGATAGCGAAGGATAGAACGACTTAGCGTGAGTTGGTTGAGGGCTATACTCTATCGGGGGTTAGAAAGGCAGAGGAGGAAGGAGAAGAAGAAGAAGAAGAAGAAGAAGAAGAAGAAGAAGAAGAAGAGGAAGAGGAAGAGGAAGAGGAAGAAGAAGAAGAAGAAGAAGAAGAAGAAGAAGAAGAAGAAGAAGAGGAAGAGGAAGAGGAAGAGGAAGAGGAAGAAGAAGAGGAAGAAGAAGAGGAAGAAGAAGAAGAAGAAGAAGAAGAAGAAGAAGAAGAAGAAGAGAAGAAGAAGAAGAAGAAGAAGAAGAGAAGAAGAAGAAGGAGGAGGAGGAGGAGGAGGAGGAGGAGGAGGAGGAGGAGAAGTAGTAGTAGTAGTAGTAGTAGTAGTAGTAGTAGTAGTAGTAGTAGTAGTAGTAGTAGTAGTATTTACCTGACGGCGCCATTTTATTAATTGATGTGAAAATGCATATGCCTTATATTGAGCTGTTTAAAAAGTTAGTTGCGTGTCCTTTACATGACCTTGCAGAACCAACCCCAGCATTTTTTTTTTTTTTTTTGCTGTTGTGGTTTTTCTAGGCAAGTTTACGTCAAGTAGTTTGTCATTGCTTTCTGGACGGTCGGCTTCTCGATACAACTGTCTAAACCAATGCAAGGCGCAGGGCCCGCAGCTGGGTTCGAACCCGGCACCCCGACATTACAAAGCGTGTTCGCAACGCCTAAGCCACAGACGCAGACAATAAGCTATAAGCAGATGCAAAAGAATTGTCAATTGAATGGTTGAATCTTAAGTTATACATGTTTGCTATATGAGTAGTTTCATTTATATTAGAAACATTTAGAATGTCAAAGTTTTCACAAAATTATGTTTCTTCTAGTAGCTATTTTTTGTTTCTTTTTTTTTTTTTTTTTTCGAATAGTATATGAACATGTATGAAGGGGCGTGAGTGTGAGCGGAGCGGCTGGTCGAACGGTTAGAGCGCTGAACTCAAAGCAGAAGACCTGGGGATTTTGTTTTCTCTATTGGGCGCAAAAAATGAAATCCTCACCTGCACAGTCCGTGGTGACAAGACAGCCCTGCGTCCCTCAGTCCTCAGGTTCAGATACACCCCCCCCCCCTTCCACCCCCACCTCTCGCCTACATCGCAAAAGTGGTCAATACAGTCAGTACTGAGAATTATTTTTTTTTAAATATGAATGTGATTTGAGTAATATAGTGTTAATAACGTAAACAGGACGCACATAAAAAATTTTCTTCTTCTTCTTTTGTCGTCTGACTATAACCAGGTTATAGCTCACTGTTGTGGTTTTCTGTATTTGTCCTACGCTTCTCGTGTGGCTTAAGTAGCAGATTTTTTCATTTTTTTTATAATTTTCAGTTACACTGCTTATCCATATGACCTTTTCTTTCACTAGCCTTTCTCCCGATGTTCTGCTGTAAAAAGTGGCATATGCGGTTTGGTCTAGCTGTATTCTTACTAGATGCTAGATGGCCGAACCGTTTTATCCCTAGTCTGTTCATATAATTCAGACACGGTCTTTTCCCAGCTTTCTCTCTATTTCTGGTATTCGTAGCCCTGTTCCTTCTTATGTTGTCAGTGACCTTACGGGGCAGCTCATTCCACAGGACTTTATTTTCTGTTCTAGTGCGATTTTCAATGTCCATGTTTGGCACAGAAAACATAAAGTAGCGCAGTTGATAAGAAGCTTGCTTTCAAATCCAGCTGCGACTCGCTGCAGCCCACGGTCGGTGTTCGAAACCGGGCGGCTCCCGGGGTTCACCCAGCCTCTAGGAAATGGGTACCAGAGTGATACTCTGGGGTAAATGGAGGAACGTCGCTGTAGCTACAGAGTTACGTGCGAACGGCGACACAGGCGGACAATTCTTATCAGCTGTCCGCACTGGTGGCAGAGTACTTATGGTTTATAACAGTGTGCAAGGACGCTGGCTCACATCTCCCGACTTTACCTTTACCTTTAGGGATGGAAATTCATTTAATCATTTTGTTTTTCTTTGGACGTTTAAGCAGCGGGGCTAAATGGTAGGTGACTTTCAAACGTCTGTACCTTTTTTTTCAATCCTTTTCTTCTTACAAATATCCACAGTTCTGCTGCATCTGGCAAACCACGATGAAGACTATGTGTTCAGCTTGCCAAGCGCCTATGCCCGATCTATACTGACGGTCCCATGGGTAGAGCTGGGAGATAAGATTCAAATGACCTGTGAGAGCACCGGATATGCGGCAACGATTGTCTTTCACACTAAGGTGAATCTGGCGTGAAGTCGATAACCAGGTAGATCATTCAGGGAATTGCAAGGTGTATTGAAAAGTAGATAATTCGGGGAATTGCAAGGTGTATTGAAAAGTAGATAATTCGGGGAATTGCAAGATGTATTGAAAAGTAGATAATTCGGGGAATTGCAAGGTGTATTGAAAAAGTAGATAATTCGGGGAATTGCAAGGTGTATTGAAAAGTAGATAATTCGGGGAATTGCAAGGTGTATTGAAAAGTAGATAATTCGGGGAATTGCAAGGTGTATTGAAAAGTAGATAATTCGGGGAATTGCCAGGTGTATTGAAAAGTAGATCATTCAGGGAATTGCACAATTAATTTTAAGGCAAATAGTTCAGGGAGTTTTCAAAATGTAGTGCAAAGTAGAATTTTTTGCAAGGTAGCGAATTTAGGGAATTGCAAGATTCCCCACCCCGTCCCACCCAGGTAGATAACTCATGGAATTCTGCGATTACATCAAGGTGGATAATTCGTGGAATTCAAAATTTATTGAAAGGTAGATAATTCCGGAAATTACTAGATTCTGCTTTCATCGTCGGCTTTCCCATCCAAACTGCTAGTTGAAGTTTACGTCTTTTCAAATACGTCTTGTGGTCATCACTTTGTGAAATGTAGTTTTTCGTTATTTTGAAACCCCAGCCCGGCTGTATCCGGGGGGTCCTCATATAACCTAACTGTTGAACGGGATTTCTGGGACCTCTCCAAGGGTGATCCTCATCCGTATGCGACTACGGAAGGGGAGGGGGTATATCGCTGACTGTGAGGTCCTTATTGGTAGAAAGTCCGTCAGTCTTTTCAAACTACTGCGTCCCAATGTCTTGTTTTTAAGCCTCGCTCTGGCTGTTGCCGGGAGCCATAATACAACCCAGCCTATGAGTTGAACAGGGATTCTGAGACCTATCCCCTGGTGATCCTCATCCAAATGGTAGCACTCTCTTTCACTGGGTGTTTATCGCTCAGTGTTATGTCCTGGTGGGGTTTAAAATCAATCAAAATGTGCTTACTACTTACCTATTGTACTTATCATTTAGGGTAACACATGTATCTTTTTTGGGGGAAGGGGGGGGGGGGGACTCCCTGCAATGGGCTACACAATAATCTCGTTCTTGTCTCAAGCCATTCATATGGCCAAACCATTCAGGTATTTATCTCTCTGTCTCCCTCTTGCTCTGTGAACATCATTCTTGCCAGTGGTTACCAAGTTCTCAAGCCCATTCCGTCTCCAAACATGACCAAGAAACATCAGGTGTCAACTGCTGAAAATGTGTCCCCCAGCGACAATGACTTAGAGGCAGTGTCGGATTTGGACTCGACGATAGTTTAAGCCAAGGGTGGGCAAACAACTCTTCCTTTTATTCTACCGTCTTTATTGTCATCTCTAAATGCGATACAAAATATCAGTGGCATTCTAAATTGAGATTTAACAGCATTGAAAGTCCGTGGTTAAGCACCAGCAAGGATATCAAAATTAGAATTTTGAGAGCATGCATCTTCCCTGTAGCAACATACGGATGTGAGTCGTGGACAATCTC